AATCAAGACCTCTGATTAAGGGTGACAATAGTGAGGATATGATTTTTTATTCTAAGTAGTCCTATATGTCAATTAGATTCTATACATATATATGTTTATATGCTATTTTGTATTCTGATTATTAATTTTCCTTGCCTTAATCAATGTACATTTAAGGACAGATTGCTTCTCAATAATTGGATTAGATTTTCGACAACGATATATACATTTAGTTTTATAAATAGATATAATCTATAGTGTGTGCGTGCACGTCGATGGTTAACATAAAATTTAAAAGGTTTACATTAATTACTCAAAAAGACCACAAATGGTAAACATGTGGACCTTAATTAATTCAAGATAAACTTTTTTTTGATATCCTATTGGAAGGAACACCGTTTAAGAATTACTTTCCAAGAAATAGTTAGATACAAAAGTACATTTCGTAGAAAAGAAAATTGGAGCATTTTGTGAATCGATTGATATAGAATCTCGAACGTAATAATTTCAGTATTCCAATTAGGCTTTTGATCTGTTTTTATATTGGATTTCTGGGGACATTAATTGGAGGGATATATTTATTTTAGCCATGAAGGGCGCAAGAATTTTCATGCTTCCAGAATATTTACTAATCAAAATATTGACTATTAAGTGATTATGATAATGACAATTGACTCCTACAACACTATTTTGTCCAAAATAGTCCGTGGCCAATCATGTATATTTTAGTCCTAATTAATCCACTTAGACTTCTTGAATGTCTCCCATTTGTTTCCAGTATGACTCCACCAGTGGAGAAAAGTTGATTATTCATGAAAATGATTTTTTATGTTTTTTTTTATATTGTTAATGTATATAATTTATCCGCAAAAGGATAAAAAAACATTTTAATCATTTAAAGTTTAACTTTTGTATATTGTTGGTGTTTTTAATACACTATCAATATAAGATCTAAAATCTTGAAAATACCATATGTTATATATCTGTATTATTTGCATATAGTATTCCTACTAGCTATTCGCTTTCAATATATTTGTATATCAACTTTGAATATTAGAACATTACACTATCCAAATTGAGAGTCTAAATTTTACAATTTCTTTTAAAAAATGGGTGGGTGGTGGTTGGGCCATTATTTAGGTATATTTGACACAAATAACACAATGAGAAATGCATACAAGTCAATATTGAAATAGTAGTAGTATATAATGGAATTTTGCCAAACTACAAGAATCAATTTTCTCCTAATCCAAACAAAAAACACAATCAATTTAGGTTTATGTGGTCGGGTACATGATAGAGTTAAAAGTTGACATTATTGGAATCAAAGACTAAAGTTTCTTGGAAAAAGAGAATGAACACTATTTAATAATAATAATACTCCTAAACTACAGCTTGCAAATAAAGTTGACTTTTTTTTTTGTGTGTCTCATAAATTCAACAAATTGATTTATCTTTATACATGGGGCTCTACCAAATTCCATAGGAGTATATGTGGCATTAGATTTGAACTTAAAAATATATATATATATATTTTTAATAACGATGATTAATTATGTTCCTAAATCAGCATCCACGGATTTGTATATACATAATATACAATAGAGAAAAAAAATAATGAATTGTAATCTTGTGATTCCAACCACAAATCTTCCCCACGTTTAGATCTTTAAAAAAAGCTTCAAACAAACAGCCCCTCACGTTACAAAAAATTCGAATACCATTAAACTTCAATAATTCAAAAAAAAAAAAATTATTAATTAAATTACTCGTGTCACACAAATATTATAGTAACTTGCTTTGTAATATAGTGACATTTTTATCACAGAAAGAAACTCCAGTTATCATTTCCTAGACGATAAGTTGCATAGCAACATATAGTGAAGAATGATCAGTTGAACACCTTAGTCAAAAAAGAGAAAAATGTACGAAGGGCTAGTTACCAATAAATGTTAGGTATTCACTTTCATATTTTGGCAAACAAAAATGTTAACACTACTACTTAAATCATTGGCATTTAATTCAACAAATTAGTCAGTATGGGTCTACAAAAACTTCATGCTAAGCACGTCAAAATACCAAGAACCCCACTTTAGAAAATGATTTGGCATGACATTTGAGTCACTACACTTATAAAAGTACACACCCTTTTCTCCCTCCCATTCTAAAACATATAAAAGTTTTAGTACTCCTTCAATAAAAACACCGCAAATCACCCATTTGTTGAACAAAATTCTCAAACATGATGCGTACTGTGCGTGTTAAATTACCAGGATTTTGTATGAATCGAACTGCAGTCCATGTTCGATCGCGTAATTCGCCTTCTCAGCTGTACAAGAAGGCGATTGATTTGATCAAATCCGATGATAACAAGTCTGATTTTTCAAGCAAAAACAGCATTGAGATGAATTACAACACCGATGAATCGAAGACGGATTCTGAAAATGGGATCAATAATAGAGTCATGGTTATGGTTGATACTAGTGTTGAAGCCAAAAGTGCTCTGCAATGGGCGCTTACACATACTGTTCAAAGCCATGACACAATTATTCTTCTCTCTGTAGTCAAGCCCACTAAACAAGGTAAAACTTTTACCGACATTTTTAAGATCACAAGATTTAAACGTCTTTCTTTTTAAAACATGTGAAATGAAACAGATGTGACTAATGTTCCTGTTTTTATTACTTGTGTAGGTGAAAATGAGAATAGTGAAATTATTCAAAGAGCCTATGAACTTCTTTACTCCATGAAAACTATATGTCAAACAAAGAGACCAGGGGTAAGTACTGAAATTGCTCTATATTTGAATTTCACATTAGAGTCGGGCTAAATTCAAATTCACGTTGAGAAGTAAAGACTCCCTAATAAACGCAACACCATACATAGAGGAACTCGTACTCAGACCTTTAATTAAGCATGAAAGAATACTTACTACTCCACCACGATCCTTCAAAATAAAACTGTTGTTTTCACCTAATAATGTTGTAGCAAGTCCAAGTGGCCCAAGTTAGATAATTGAATAAGAGAATAGTGTCAGTCCAAATATTGTCCGTACCAAATCACATGGAAAGTTACCAATAAATATAATTAAAAAAGTGCTGTTCAGTATTTCTGGTTGGCATAATGAAGCCAATTAGTAGGTTAAGTAACCTTTTTCTCTAGGCAACACTTCAACATAACAAGTAAATTAACAACTCCTACTTTTTAGCTTCATGCTAGCATGTGTTTACTTGCTGTTAAGCAATTTGTCTCTTTATTTAGTGATTTAAATCATTTATCTTGAGTGCGTGTGAGAGAGAAACGTCATGAACAAAATGCATTTGTTTTCAATCTGGATGTTGAATACAATATTTAAAGTTAATAAGAGAAGTTTTGGGCAACGTCTATTTCATGTCTATGGCAAGACCCACGAGGGGGCTGAGGTGGCGTTAATCAAAGTCATGATCAATATTACACTTTCTTGGTGGACATATTGTTAAAAAATAAAATTGAGTTTTGATATGATGACAAACGTTTAGTCTTAACCAGTGATATCAAAGTCAATGTCATAGATTTGATTCCCAAGCATGACGTAGGTGTTGGGAGGAGGATTCTCGGGTAACACCAATATCTTGTCTATGAGCTTGTATTGGAGTCATAATCGAATATGATGCTTGCTTGTGGGTGCATCCTCACAGAAAAAGAGATGCTTTTCTTGCGGCCCAAGATTGTATTCATTGGAAAAAACTGTTAATTGTGATGATTTGTGTGTTAACAGGTGCAAGTAGAGATTGCAGTGGAAGAAGGGAAAGAAAAAGGGCCTGCAATTGTAGAAGCAGCAAAGCAGAGAAAAGTGTCATTGTTGGTATTGGGACAAAGAAAAAGATCAATAATGTGGCGTTTACGCAGGATATGGTTAGGAAAAAAGTCGAAAAACAGAGTTGTGGAACACTGTATTCAAAATGCAAAATGCTTGACCATTGCAGTAAGAAGAAAGAGCAGCAAGTTTGGAGGATATCTCATAACTACTAAACGTCACAAGGACTTTTGGCTCTTAGCTTAATCATATTGTTTCTACCATTCACTCTTCACATTTATATATATAATACCAAACAAAATTTCAGTTTACTTTCTGTTGTTATAATCTGCACGAAACGACTAGCTACTTCCTCCATTTGGATATGAATTGTACAAATTAAAACACAAAAATGAGAGGTGTTAAATTTCGTTGGACATGAATGTTGTTTGTTATGCTAAATCAATCCAAAACATATTCTTAACATTAGGTTTATATGCAGAGTTCTCCTCAAAAGGTCTCACGTCGTTAAGAGATGTAGACTTCTTCTTAATTTTGACTCTGTTTCCACATGATCGTAGAAATAATCAAATTGTAACGAACCTATCTAGTACTATATATTATAATGTGATATGGATCTTTTTTCTTAATGATAGAATAAGTTAAACAAACCTCAGCGAAATGATTCATAACCAGCTAGTACTGTTTTGGATGTAACATTTAGGTACATGTCCAAGTCAAGTTGCTATTTGCAATCAAAATTCAACACAACAAAATAAATGTACATTTACCTAAGTTGACAATTGTAGCTATATATATATGAACCTTCTATTAGCTAGTCTGGCATATAAAAGACTCTAATTACATACGTTTGGCTTCATCTTTTATATGTCAACTTCAACAAACGAGCGTTTTTAGTGAAAGGATGAGATTTAAAACTTAAACAACCAATAAAATGATGCAATTAAATGGAAAATGTTGGTATTATTCGAAATTACCAATCGGTAAGCAAGGTAAAAAATATAATATATTAGGTGTTAAATTAAAAAACAAAATAAAGAACGATTTCATCTGACTAGACTTATAATGACATGCATCACGAATCATCCATGTGTCGGTCTAATACACATAGTACTCACTCTATCCTAAAATACGACAATGTGTTTGACTAGACATAAAATTTATGAGATTTTTTTTTAAAAAAAACTTATAGTCTAAAAACACGGTATAGAAAAGTTAATTTTTTTTTTGGACCGACGGAAGTGAAAGAGTGCCAAGTTGGACAGTGTGTGTAACAATATTTGCATTGTAAACAATGTTTGATAAGAAAATCTAAATTTTGATGTGATACTTGTTTCTTTTCAATTTGTTATAGGAGTTGACAAAAGTCTGTGAACTCTCTTGAGAAGAATGATGGTGGAGATATTGTTGTAAAGGTTTCCACTAAACACATGCTCCTTTATTAGATTTGTTCATGAGCAAAAATAGATCTTCCCCATCTCCTTATTTTCCCCGCTTTCACACAATCTTCCATGCTTAAGCTGCTTCAATTTCATTGAGTTATTTTTAGCGTTTTGGCCAACACCATTTTGCCACCCTTCATTGTTTAAGCTTATTCTGCATTCCATTGTCTTGATTCATTGAATCTGACCAATGGGTTTACTGCAATATTCGTGATTCTTTAGGGACGGGTTTTCTTTCGATTCTTGATTTGGGAGTCTCAGATTTGGTTTTTTTTGTGTGTGTGGATTCAATCTTGGAGATTCGGTGTTCTCGTTTCTTGTTTTGGCGGTGAATTGGGGAAGATAAAGGTATAAGATGCGGCGGCGGGCGGCCGATCATCGGCGCCCGGTTCGAAGGAGGCTATCTTGTTGGATCTGGTCGCTTCTTGGAATATTCTCAATTGTAGGTTTCGTTTTGTTTGTAGTTCATCATCATCATGACCACGAGGATCACGTAGAACAACCTGTTTTGGTAAGCCTACAAATCCAGACCCAGATCATCGTTTGTTTTATTGCTTTCTGAATCATAGTAGTTTCAAGCTTAATGAGCTTGCTTTTTTGATAAAGTAGAAATCCTCCTTGTTCATTTTCCATTACTGGGAGTTTCTGATCTGAGAATCTGCTATCTTTTATACTACTGGTGTGAGGATTACTTTTGTAGTTTTTCATTGATCGGTTTTTGTTACTATCTGTTATTTCTTCTACTTTGATTATAGTGTCATATTGTTGTAGATACTGTTCAACATGCCTTGTTATGCTTTCACATAAATTACTTCTTTTATCGGATTGCTTTGATTTGTTTTTCCTTGAACCGACTGTCTATCAGAGAGGGACTCGAATTTGTGGGACTACATTATCTTCTTGTTGTTGTATGTTTGTTTCATGAATTGTTTTAGGATTTTCACAATACTGGTTGGTAGTTTTTAGTAGGATGGTAAATCTGCACTTAGTTTTCAATGCATTAACATTTGTTCATGTTTTGGGTCTTGTAAGTGATACTTGTCACTTTAAAGCTTAAGTGCAATGATTTTCTATTAACTTTCAGCTCCAATAATGGAAATTTTGTATTGCCCATTTTTCTTTCAGTTTGTAACTCATCTACCCTAAGCTAGAATGCAGAACATGTGGATCGCTTCTATATTGTTCCAGATCTATTAGATGTGCCTGTGTGGGACTGAACGTTCTGTTTTATAACTCTTGTTGTCAATAATTTACTTGTTGTCTCCTTGGATCTTTGTGGCTGTCCGTGTGCTTGTGTCCCTGGTGACTTTAATCTTTTTTATCGTGCTGATTATTTTGAGAAAATGGTGGTATTAGATCCTGTGTACTTGACTACCACTGCTGCTGTGCATTATACACAGCTCATCCTCTTTTTTTATGACAAGGGAAACCCACAACCGCTACCCTTTGGGTATGCACATGGTAAAACCCGGCTCCTATGCAATAGCTTGAAAACCACACAAGAGAGATAATCCGCACTAGCAAGCCCGGTGCAATGGGCTCAAGCCAGAAAGCAAATCTCTTGCTTATGCTGGCATCGAACTTGAGACCTCCAACATGGAAGTCTCAAGCCCAAATCACTGGGCCACCCCGAAGGGTAGCTCATCCTTGCATCTCTCTATATACCTAGATTTGCTTCTTGTCTTTTACCATTCCTTTCTCCCTTCCGCTAGAATGGAAACAATCCACCTCCAACTTATTTCCCATCACACCAGCAATTGGTCCCTGCTCCCAACATAGTCACAGTTTTTTGTCTTTTTATTTTCCCTCTATTTTCTTTTTCTGAATACCCGCTTCCTGAAACAAGGATTTAGTCGACATCCACTTCAACTTCTACCTTGACTGTCACTTGGAAAGAATATATATGGCTGACACGCTTGCTATGAAAGTCTTATCTGATAAAACCAACACAAAAGTATTGACGGTAGAAGTGTTATAGATTTATAATTAAATATGGATTTTTGGGTGTGACTTGTTTAGATTACTTGACCTAAACTGTAGTCCCATTTTTCATTTGGTGCACTTTATTAAGGAAAAGTTTCTACACAGGGAAGCCATATCTTGGCTTTTCCATTTTTGAGGAATAAACGTGGGGAAAATGTTTCTACAGAAAAGTAAATGGGTTCCACGAGAGGCATATACAGTGCATTAAAATTATTTTTCAAATATATTAACACCATTTCTGATTAACTAAGGATGAAAAATTGAAAATGGGACCTGTTTTGGGTCAGAGAAGTAAATAAAGTGTTAACCCCATTCAGTAATTCGATGGTCTCTCATTACTAGATCACCCTTTGACGACATCATTATAAAATGTAACCCATGTTCCTAATACTTAGCTTTGGAAGTGATAAAGCTAGATTAATTTATCTACTTCACTCCACTTGCTACTTTCTAGCCCTTTTCACCTATTGCTGTTTTTAATTCTTTTTGATAATTTCTCAATACAAATGTTAAATGTCCGTTTGTTAGCAATTCTAGTTCTTTTAATGTTAAAATATGCAGAAGCATAGAATGTGCCATGAGTCCTTGTAGTTGGCACATCTGTTTGAGTTGACAGGTCTTCTAAGTCTTGTATAGAGAATCTTTCCAGGAACAACAATATCCATTTTATTCATTACGTGGTGTAAGAGCAAGGACTTAACAATTGGTAAAAGTAACTAAGTTCTTTTTGAAGTTGCATTCTATAAACATAAAAGAACTGCAATGATGGATTAGTTTGTTAACTGTGTAATTGTTGACTAGTTCACCTATTAAAATGATGACCCTAATGAGAATTGCGATGTTGTTTACCTATACTTTTGTATGGTTTGTTGTATTCACCAATGTACGATTATACAGATAGAGATCCAAGTTCAAAAAAATGATTATACAGATAGAGTTGACCTTCACTGGATGGATTGGCTGAGTTCCATCTTATTTTATTTTAAAATTCTAAAGTACTTTGATAATCACAACTGGCTTAATATTTTTCATTGTCCCAGGAAAGAGAGTCTAGGAATGAGCAGGTTGTGCATGAGCGTATGAATCTCACACAAGAGATGTTAAGTGTTAATTCATATGCCAGACAAATAGCAGAGCAAACAACACTAGCCAAAGCTTACATCATTATAGCAAAAGAGCACAACAATCTTCATCTTGCATGGGAGCTGAGTACAAAGATAAGAAGTTGTCAACTTTTACTCTCAAAAGCTGCAATGAGAGATGAGCCTATTTCTCTAGATGAAGCTGAGCCAAACATAAGAAGTCTATCTTCTCTCATCCTTAAGGCACAGGATGCCCATTATGATATTGCTACCACTATGATGACAATGAAATCACATATTCAAGCTCTTGAAGAGCGTGCCAATGCTGCATCTGTTCAAAGTATGATGTTCGGACAGTTGACAGCCGAGTCTCTGCCAAAGAACCTGCACTGCCTAGAAATGAAGCTCATGACTGATTGGCTTACAAAAAAGTCACTGCAGGATTTTGCTGATGAGAGGAGAAACTCACCTCGTTTAGTAGACAATAACCTGTATCACTTCTGCATATTTTCAGATAATCTGTTGGCAGTTTCAGTCGTTATCAACTCAACTGTGGCCAATGCTGATCACCCTAAGCAGCTAGTTTTCCATATCGTAACGGATTCAATACACTATGGAGTGATGCTGGCTTGGTTCCTGAACAATGACTTCAAAGGTTCTACAGTAGAAGTACAGAATATTGACAACTTCACTTGGTTGAATTCATCTTATTCTCCTGCTGTAAAGCAGCTAATGTCCACAGATTCCAGGAAGTATTATTTTGACGGATCTCAAGATACGGGTGTTGAGCCAAAGTTCCGGAATCCAAAATATATACATTTGTTGAATCACCTTCGGTTTTACATCCCTGAGATTTACCCGCAGTTGGAGAAGATTGTTTTCCTCGATGATGATGTTGTAGTTCAGAAGGATCTGACACCTCTGTTTTCGCTGGATTTGCATGGAAATGTGAATGGAGCAGTAGAAACTTGTCTTGAAGCTTTTCATCGTTATTACAAGTATCTCAATTTTTCAAATCCACTCATCAGCTCTAAGTTTGATCCCCAGGCCTGTGGATGGGCATTTGGTATGAATGTTTTTGATTTGATTGCTTGGAGGAAAGCAAGTGTCACTGCCCGATATCATTATTGGATAGAACAAAATGCTGATAGGACTATTTGGAAGCTAGGAACCCTTCCACCTGGACTATTAGCTTTTTATGGAATGACTGAGCCACTTGATCGGAGGTGGCATGTGTTGGGATTAGGTTATGACGTGAATGTTGACAATCGCCTGATAGAGAGTGCAGCAGTGGTTCACTTCAATGGAAACATGAAGCCATGGCTTAAGCTACGCATCAACAGGTATAGGCCTTTGTGGGAACGATATGTAAATCAGACGCACCCACACCTTCAGGATTGTGCTACACATTGAAATGACTATACTTTTTCACATACTCGAGAAGATCCCATCATTGTAGAGTTAGAAATAGACAATTTTGCCCTATTAAGGATTCTTCCCTAGTCTTGTTATCAGTTTAGTAGTGTGAAAAAAGGAAAACTGATATTATACAACAAAGGGTTTAGGGGAATCACTTATGGTTGAGAGGTTTTCTCTGTCTCTACAAATGATAGAACAAATTTTCCTAGCATTTTTTTGTAATAATCTTGTTCCTTTTGATCACATCTAGGTTAGACATTTTGTCTTTGCTTCTTTGTTGTTCTGTACGCGGATCCAATTATTTTTAGTTGCTGTAACATATAACTACTGCAACCTATGTAAGTGATTTATACTGATGATATGATGCATCAGAGCGACTATTATGGTTTTTTGGCCTTTGGTACAAGATAGAACATGACTATGTATTTTGAGGTTTTGAACAATATCTTGATTCATATGTATGTCCATTTAATGTCAATACAAACCCAAAAGGCCACAACTTTCTTCTACTTGTTAAGGTCTTGATCATATGTCACATTCCAATAATGTTGCAAGACAACATTGATTAGTGTGAAAATTATAGTTGTAGTATATGTACTTGTCGGTGGCAGATTCAGAAATTTTATCAATCTAGCTCCAATTGACTTAACATGAAACGACCTATTGGACCAAATGCTTTGAATTGTCCTTCTAAAGTGAACTCACTTTTCTCTCTCCTCATAAATATATTAAAGTACATTTTAAAAATAAGTGGGATCAATAAGGGTAAAAGAGGAATTGTACTTTTAAAGACTTACCATACAAGAAAATTTGACTTTCTTTTTAGGACTGACCAAAACAGAAACGGTGTCACATAAAATGGGACGGAGGGAGTCGCAAGATAGGTAAATTTCTCCATAAAATAATACTACATAAATTCACTTATAATTAATTCTTACATTATCAATACCTACATAACTCGTACCAGTTTAGTTTAGTTTAATTCAGTTCAATTTAGCTATAATATATGTATATTGGTTAGGTGATGCTACTATATTTAGCCCTGTTGCTGTTATCTTTCCTGTTCTAAAGTCTAGCAAGATTTTCTGCTTTCTACTCCTCCCTTTGCTCCATTAAACTCAATAATGGCAAGTTTATCCTCTATCCCTTTGCTCACAACTGGTGTCACCAAAGAACAAATTATACTCTCTGAGCTACCAAAAGAAAGAGGTTGGCTGAGTGAACATATTCACCAATACAAAGGCTTTTGGTATGCTACACAAGTTGTTCAAGGTCTGCTAGCACTTGAACAGCAACATTTCAAGCCAAAACCAAACACTGTCTTACTAGCAAGTTTCCCAAAATCTGGCACTACATGGCTTAAGGCACTTCTCTTTGCTATTAAAAACAGAGGTGAAATAGATTTCAACACACACCCTTTGCTCTCTTCAAATCCACATGAGTTAGTACCATTTTTAGAGGCTTATGCATTTAACCACCCAACAAATCCAACACCAAACACTTGTCTAATGCATTCACATCTTGCTTACAATTCTTTATCAGAGTTGGCTGACTGCAAGATAGTATACGTATTTCGCGATCCGAAAGATGTGTTAACTTCTTGCTGGCATTTTATACAGAAATTAAGATCTAAAGAACTCCCATTCATTTCTCTACCTGAAGCATTTGATCAATTCACCAAAGGGTATTCCCCTTTTGGTCCATTCTGGGATCATGTAATGGGATATTATAAAGCAAGTTTAGAATTTCCAAAGAAAGTTTGTTTCTTGAAGTATGAAGAATTGAAGAAAGATCCAATCTTTAATGCAAAGAAATTAGCAGAGTTTTTGGAGCAGCCTTTTTCACTGGAGGAAGAGAATGAAGGCATTGTGGAGAGGATAACAGAGCTATGCAGCTTTGAGAAACTGAGTAATTTGGAGGTGAATAAAGAAGGTTCACACACTGGATTTTTCACTCCTACTGTTTCTAACAACATATTTTTCAGGCAAGGTAAAGTTGGTGATTCCAAGAACCATCTTTCAGAGGAAATGATTGAGGTTCTTGATGAAATCACAAAGAAAAAAATTGGGTTTTGATTTGATGAACACAACAAAATGGTAAAGGGATTGAGTCAGACCAGAATCAGAACAACTAACATGTATTTTCAATTGAGCGGAGTGTCTTTTGGAAACCGTCTCTCTATTCGATATTGCCCAATAAATAAAAAAATTTCCTTTTAATTGTTTTGGTTGCTTTCTGTAAGTCATGTTGCAAGGTTTGGTTATTGATTTCAATAAATGTTCCTTTTTGTCATTAGAATATAGATTACGGATTCAATTAAACAATAACTTAAGAAATTTATAGAATATGTATAAGTTATTTACTCAATACTCAATATAACTTAAAAAGAATTAGGATCTAAAACACCTAAGTTTCAATTTTTGATTTTGCCTCTACTTCCTAGCTAGTGAATCATTTTGGTGTAATTAGCTCAAAACAACAAGAACATGTTTTACTTGCTCAATTAAGCAAATCAAAAGAATTCTATTATTCTTCGTATTAAATGATTACATAAAACATAATAATATTTTTAAAAAAATCTTAAAGAGTATATTGAATTAATATGAATAAACTAATATGATACGAAAAGTTTACACACACTTAAAAAAGTTGTTGGACTCGATCTGAATGATTGCTCCTTGTATCACGTGAATCTTTTTTTAAACCAAACACTTGAGATATATATAAAAGAAGATTTTCTTCAAAAGAATATTTTTATATATTTCTGTCATACCATATGTAAAGTTAATTAACTTCTTGTCCTGAAACGCCTGCTCACATGACTACATAAGTTTTAAGTATAGAAGATGGCCCTATTAAGACCAAATATATAGTGTATCGTGGGTAACAATTTCAGTTCATATTAATAAAATGAGTTAATTTTGTTTATATTTAATAACTTGGATTATTTATATTTTAATTGATTAATTATGGACTTTAAATTATTTTAAGAGTTTCTACAAATATGATTAAAATGAGTTAAATATAAGTATCAATTTGATTCATATTAGATCACTTATTTTCATTTTACTAAAAATTTTATTTGTGCTAAACAAATTAGGAATAAATTAGTAGAAAGGGGTGCTCGGGGTAATATTTTTTGTTTTTGAAATTAAAAAAAAAATTAGGGATAAGTTGGTGAAGGGGGGAGGCAGAGAGGTTACCCAAGGGGAGGGTTGATTTTTTTGTTTTTGAAAAATAAAAAAATTTAGGAGTGGGTTGGTGGAAGGTGGGGGAGGGTTACGTTTTTTTATTTTTGAAAAAATAGATTTTTTTAATTTATTTTTGGAAAACAAAAAAATTATAGGGGTAGGTTAGTGAAAGGAGGGGACGAGATATGTGGGGAGGGGTACATTTATGTTTTTGAAAAATAAATTTATTTAAATGGGTTAGAAGCATTTTGACCAAATTCATATTTGCCCATATTAATATTCGGATGGATTATAATTCAACCATTTTTTTCTCAAATCATACTCAACTCACGCAAATCCAATCTAATCCAACCGTTTGCCACCCCTCTACTGTACTTCACTTTAATTTTTTCGTTTACTTTTACTATATCTTAAAATTAGTACTTTAATTGATTCGTTACTTAAATTCTCTATTTTATGTGTGATTTTTCAACTCTCCACACCCTAACCCTACCATAATTATTAATTATACTACTCCACTTACTAAAAAAGACGCTGTAAAGTAGCTCGTGGTATGCATGGTTGTGCCAACTTTAATACGCCACAATTGAGAAGAGGTTTAAAAGCAAAATTGTTAGGTTAAAGGAGAACACTTGCACCATTTCTCTCTCTTACATTATGCACTCATAATGTAAAGATGAAAGATAACTACATTACACATATGTAAAGTCAAATACAAATATTTGCAACAAGAGAATAAAAAAAATACTTTATTATGATGTAATGTAAATAAGTTATAATGAAATTATTGTGTGGAGTTTATAGTTATGGGAACTAGATAATGATGGGATTATCTGAAGTTCTAAACCTATGATCCAAGTAATTCTTTTAACCTCATTTACCCCTACACAAGAATCCTATACCAAACTCATGATCCAAGTAATTCTTTAAACCTCCTTTACACTATACAGAAAGAATCCTCTTTTATGTCAAGGAGATTCAAGTCACATTTCCTTGGTGTGATTAGAAGTTAATTTTAGACCATACACAATAGGAATTAGGAAAATATTCTAGTAAATTTACTCTAAATGATTTGCAATAGCAAGAATATACAACAAAGACTAACCTATTCTAATGAATAGTTACCAAATTGCTAACTCTGTATGACCATCTTCAGTTGCACAAGCTCTGAACATTCCAGTTGTATTAAATGGCATGGTAACTTCTCCAGTGGCTGATACAGCAATCAGGCCAGTGGTTCCTTTTGGCGCAGATTGCTCTATAACGTAGTCTGCTGCTTCCTTGAGAGAAAGCCCTTTATACTCCATTAGAGCAGCCACATCTCTTGCTACAGTGGCACGGATTATAGCTTCACCTTGGCCTGTAGCAGAGACTGCACATAGTTTGTTTGCATACGTACCTGCACCAATAACGGGAGTATCTCCTATCCTTCCAACCATCTTGTTTACTAGTCCTCCAGTAGATGTAGCAGCAGCTAAATGTCCAAAGCTGTCAACAGCTACACATCCAACTGTCCCTAGCTGGCTATCTCCACTTGGAGCTGGTGTTTTGTCATCTTTTGGTATAGGCCGTGTATTATAATCAACCTGTAAATTGGTAGCAGCGATATTTACCAATAATACCGAAGCAGAAAGCCTCTCGATGTTAGGAATTACAGAAGAATTGAGTCTTGAATCACGAGACTTGAGTTGCCAAGAAGGGAATAGAACTAGAAAGCTCTGTTAGAGACATAACTACATTTACGACATCATAGGCAAACTCACTTGGAGGCCAAGAAAGAGGACCAAGTACAAATGGATAATGTTTCCATTGATGCTTTCTGAAAAAGAACCCTTGAGGCTCTTAAAAATTCTCAATCAAAAGGTTAGATAAAAACAAGTACTATAAGGAACAGTGGACTTCTATCAATAACAAGGACAAAGGCATAACATGCTATCTTGCAAAAAAAATATAACAACAAAGAGATAGGGTAGTATACCTGGACTTTGTTTGCCTCTTTTGCTTGTTTTAGTCTCTCGATATTCCGTGGTGTGATAAAATGGCTTGAGTCCGTGGTTTCAACCCCCTTGACAACAGAACCATCACCATTCATCAAATATATTCTATGTAAAAAAGGATTTAAAAGAAACTGAACGTAATACAATCATAAAACTAGGGGGTTATATTATCAGAGAAAGTTAACTTAATAAGAAGTGTCAAATGAACTGGTCACCGATTCCTGAGTGGTCACATTAATGAAACCAGAATATCATAAAGAAACTGGGTGAAGTCCATAAACAGCCCATCAGAAATTAGAACTGGAACTGAACAGTGCTAACAGAGAGGTCAATCTGTCAAGTCTTTGCATCATCCTGAATCCGGATACAAGATGCATTCATCAGCATTAAGTACTTCAATAACTTTCTGAACGTTTCATTCAGGCATGTCCATAAGAGAGAAGACAATGACAAAGTTTTTACAGACCTGCTCCCTCGCAAATGCCTCGGCTCCCTCAAATGCAAGATATATATGTGGAGTTTTTTCCATGACCAGCCTAGCCAGAGATATAGCATTGACAACAGTGGTTAAGCCAGAAACAGCTCCACAGTTTTTCGTATTCCCATCCATGATACATGCTTCCATTTCTACTGTACCATTGCTGGTTAGGACAGACCCTCTACCAGCATTAAAGTATAGGTTATTTTCTAGTTCCCGCACCTGCTTGATCCAACTTCCAAGACAGTTAAAAAAAGCTATCATAACACCAGTAAAAGGTAAACTACTCATTATACAGAAACCAGAAGTTTTAAGGCTCCCAGAGGACCCAAGTATCTTAGTACCATTCCCACGCACATATACAGTAAGACACTTCCCCTTGCACGAACTGAAGTATGTATTTATAAGAAAAACTAAAGCAGGGAGTAAGAGCACTTTTAAAACAAGATCAAAATTAACAATAGTATCATCCTGCATGCTAGCGAGAGGTGAAAACTTCTACTCAATCTCAGAGGCTCAGCATCACAACCAAACCCATGTCAGTACTTTCAGAAATTTGCAGTTTTCTGTTTTTGATTACTAGAGAAGTTTTGGAGAATCAAACAGAGATCATATTTCTATAATCTATTATTGAATAATATTAAACAGTTAGAGTGGTCAATTGTTCTCATAAGCCAGAGATAAAAAGCTATTCAACCTAAGTATCAAACATAGTCAAGTAACATCCTAACAAGGTAATAAGAAAACAAGAAGTTAAATAGTTATGATTGCGTAGGAAGAATGTAACAAGTGATATCCGTATGAGAAATTGAACAGATGCAAAATCAATAGACCAGCTTATATAACTACAATATATAGAGAGATAAGAAACTGAACAGATGCGAAAATCCTCTAGGAATTAGGAAAAGCTACAATCTATGCGGGTTATGAAATGACAAGTACCACGATTTCAACAACGTCCAAAGGGGATTTTTGGGCCTTGAGAGCATCGACGGCCGTCTGTAAGCAATAGCGAAGAGAAGCTTCTCTTGGCTCACGAAGCTCCGGCGGCATATCCTTGGGTATGTCACCAGCTCCACCGTGCAACGCTATAGCCCAACCCATAATTCTCCCTCTCCCTTACACCCACCTCTTTTGCTTTTCCAATATTAGTGCGATTGCCTTTATTCTTTTTTTTCCTAAAATAACCATTTTTAAAATATAGTAGTAGTACTATTGATTGAGATTAATATCACCCATACCTCAACTTGTACCACTTTTAAATATACGTAATAAAACTCGATCTTGCTTTGGCATATTGAATGGAAAAATATTTTTTCCTCCTTATACTTCTTCACTCATTCCATCTTCCATCTTCCACCACCACTACACTAATTTGGAAAATATTACAACATAGAAGAAGAAGAAGAAAAAAGTTGCACTAATTTTGAAAAACATTTGTATAAAAAGAACAGGAAGAATTGAAAGAAAAGTAGGAGAAGAATCCTATTATCTTTGTCAGCCTCATCCGAAAATCGCTACCGGGTACCGGCAAAATACTCCTCCCTAAACCCCTTCTCTTAAACCCTCCATGGTTAGTAGGTAAAATATCTACTAACAACAATGAAAAGAGAGTTTTGGCAGTGTAACTTGTACGTTCTATTTAATAACTTTAGTTTAAACTTCATAAGTTTGTAAGTCATTTTTAAGTGTCAACTTAATAAAAAGTTGATCATGTTACCAGATTGAAGCTGAAATTGATATGAGTGGCGCAGAGATGCAATAGGCCACTTGCTTTTAAACTTCCCATACAATTATAACAGGAACATTCTAGCATTCAGTAGAGACGAATTCAAAATTTGAAACGACTGAACATAAGATGTACCTACCTACAAAATCTAAATCAAATAAGGTCCACTTTAGTGTTGCCTAGTTGTTGGCTACTACTCGCTGATGACACAAACTTGAAATCTTAAATTATGTAGAATTGACATTTAAACATACTGTCTACCAGCAGCCATCCCTAATATTGGAATTAGGGCGGTATACTGTAAACAGAGAGCAAGGAAAGCAAAGCTCCACTTCAAACACTTAAGACAACTCTGATATACTCTTGAAGTAGGATTCTTCTTCCTCTATTACACCCTGCAAGAACAACAAAGCTTTGTATTAGCAGGTTTTTAACAACGTTCCAATGCTTCTTTTAACTTTAAACAAATTTCTATCGTCAAACCTTGATTATCATTATGGCAGCATCCTTGTGCAAAACCTCATTGTACTCGTGACAGGAAATATTCTGCAATACTCGAGAAGTATGACTTTCTGATCATTTCATATACAGGAAGAACGATAACATAAACTAACTGGCAATTAAGTACTAACTTGTACACAGTTAGGACAGCCGGTATCACCAGAGCAACAACATGATGCAAGAAGTTCCAAAGCAGCAGTCAGCAGCTCACTGAATATATGCTGCATCTGCCAGATCAAATAGTACTTTTTCTCAAAAGAAGTTTGTGACAACACTGCATGTCCTAATTCATGCGATAAGGCATTAGATAACTATTGTCCATGGTTTAAGATCACAGACAAAGTTGCTTCGCATTTCCACTTGAATAACAGCCATTGTTTTGGGTTTTAATACCACATCCCCTTTACCAAGTAGCAAGCCTAAGATTTACTTTGTTCATTTGCTAATCATGTTCAACCATAAAAACAATCAACAGTTTCATTTGCTTTTTTAAAAAACTTTATTCTTATTGTCGCTGAAGAGACTACGGATGAGATGAATTAAATGTTTTCAAAAGTTTCCAAATGATAAACAAATGACCAAATTTCTTATGTTCTAGCAAAAGATGAATTTGAGCAAATTAAGTAAATGCAGGTCAAGTGTGGGTTATTTTATAAATATTTGTAAATACTCTCTATGATGAAAAATCCACCTCTTACACTTGCAGACAACAGCAGTTTCTCAAATGCTTTACATATTTTGGACAGTCTAAGTGGTTCCCTGACTACAAGTTCCAACCACATCATCTTATACAAGCCATTGCATGCTCTTCAGCGGAGCACTGACTAACTTAATAGTTAAATATAATGAAAGCCATTCATCTAATTATTCGAAATTTCCTTAATTCATTACTTAAATAAATAACATCCTAATGAACTTCACAATCTATTTTAAAGCCTAACCAACTAAATACAGGTCCCTTTTTCACAAGTTTCCTGGTATTCCTTTGAATCTTTAGAAAATGGCACAATTGTCCAATTAGCTTGCAAAATCTCCGTTTCAATTTGTTTGTCCTATTTTGACTTCGCATAGAGCTTAAGAAAGTAACAAAGACTTTTGAATCTTGTGGTCTTAAATTAAAGATATGTTAAATGTACCGAAATGTCCTTCAATCTTGTGATCTTGAACATGCCATGTGAAAAATTGGAATTAAAAAGTTGCTAAAAAAGAAAAGAGATATTCTTCTGAAACACGCTAAAAAAGAAAATAGGACAAACAAATTGAAATGGAGGGAGTACCATAATATAAGTAAAATCAAATCATGATGGAAAAGGAATCAAAAGCAGACATAGTTCACCTGTGCTGAAATGCCAGTCCCTCCAGGGTGTGGATCATAAAGCAGAACTCTTTCTGGAACATTGCGGGAATCATAAGGGTTTACACACTCTGAGGCTAAATCAGATGAATTGCAAACTATGTACCTTCAGCACAAGTTTCAGGAGACAATAAGAGAGCAGTTTTAATATATTAACTCAGACAGAGAAGAACATGTTGAGCCAGATCCAAAACTCATGTGGTTGAAACTTACATAGGAACAACATTAAGAAGAGCATGACCAGCAGCATGTAAGCCTCCTCGGAATGAATAATTTAAGGTCTCTACAGCTGTCTTTATGGTCTGAGGAACTTGAATCCAGACAGCCTACATGTGCATTAAAGCTACAAAATTACAAAGAAGAAAGAGTACTAAAACAGTGATGAACAAACATTACACAGAGGAACTTCAGAAACAGTTCAAACTGGTATTCACCTGGGTTTCATATGTGTAATTAGGAAGTGAAAGTTCAACAGTGTCAAAGACTTGGTTGCTCTTTTTCCATATTTTGCGGAAACCAAACCACGTGGTCGTTACTCTGCAACTTTGTGCTTGGGCAGTTGTTCTTGGAAGTTGCAGACTAGTAGTCCTTGCTGGGTAAGCCTACATGGTGGTAAAATATGTATCATGTCAATCCAACATTAACTGGAATGTAACAGCTGAATTTATAAATGACCTGGTATACAAAGAGTGACTTCAAGTAGCATGCAACAAGCAATATGAGAATTTTCTTTTTCTTAAATAAGACCAATAAAGCATTTGTGTTTCAAGATTAGACAGTTGACAGGAAAGTGCAGTCGAGTAGTTCTTCAGATGAAAGCAGGAAAATCTACCTATAAGCAGTAAACATTAAAAGGCCATGCTTCATTAAATATCTACAATACTTATGATGAGACTGCAAGTCCAGTGTTTTCCTCGACTAAGAATCAATTAGCTCCGCATAATATGAGACGGCTAGCAGGACATATGTGATAGAGAAACAAAAATCACATGAGAAATAGTTGAAGAGGAAGGAAGAAGATGCAGAAAAGTTTGATCAAGAACACTCTGTATTACCCAAAACATGGCCATGATCAAGTCATAGTGTTAAAATATAAGAACTGGCAGCATTATCCAACTCTTAAGAATGATCAGCCGCTAATAAGAGAGTCAAAGAACTTGGTTCTTATGACTAGTCAGGTGCGCATCTACTTTGCATCACATAGACTGAACACACCTTATTGCCAAGGATGAAACAACAGTAGCATAAAGATTCTTTTGGAGGACAGAAACGAAGCTTCTTTTCTGTCACTAATTTGGGATAATGTACATGACACCCTTAACTATTTTTTGATAACGATTACACCCTTAACTATCTACACACCAATTCCTGGAGAGAGACTTGGCAGTAGAGCTCTAACACGTGGTAGAGATTACACAAACTGTAAGGGGTGTTAGGTTCACAAACAAGTTAGACCAGGATTATAATACGAGGATTAGACAATAGTGGGTTTATTTTGGATCCGCTATTTCCAATAGATGTTTGGTTCATTGTATTAAAACTGGTATATACAAAGTATAATATAAAACATGTATATGAATTAAAATATATAAACTTGGATAAACTTTATTTCCAATGTTAACCTTGGCCTTCTTAATATTTTGGGAGAAGACATTTAAGCTTTTGATTCTTTTATCCCGTGATAGCTAAATCCCGAAATTATTATTCCACATGGAGTCTGGTGGAAAAATAGTACCAAAAATTGTGGTATAACTAATTCTGGGATTTTTCCTATACCAAAAACAATAGTCCAACCAAACATGGGATTGAATAATCCCAAATTCTATCTCGGGATTGTTATCCTTTATTCCATGGACCAAACGACACCTAACTTGACAGAGACCAAAAAACATCCATCATGAATTTCTAGGGGTTAAGAGCTATTAAAAAGAAAGACTGAGGCTATCCTTGAAAAACATGCAGGAAAATGAAAAGCACTACTTGAGACATACAAAGTTGGCACCAGTAACTTCGACATCAGTGTAGTCACGTGTTTTGGTATAATATTTCAAGTCCGCTCGTTGGCACCAAGCAATTCTGTTTGTCACATCAAGCTCCTTCACAAGATACGTTTTCCCCTGATTCATATAATTAGCCCCTTCATATACCTGTAAAACAATTGGGGCCTGAATTGATTAACTTGAAAAGGTAACTTCAAAAGATGACCTCAAGAACTGTAGAGTTCTGCTGCACCAAAATAATATACACACGTGTATTTTTGAAAACTAATGTACACCCACATGTATAACACACATGAATATAAGCATCACAATGATGATCTCTCTCTCCCTCTCTTTTTTCCTATTTATGATT